AAATATCATCTTTGTAGCTTAGTATATAGGCACAAGTTTAAATCATTAACACTGACAACATGGTGCAGAGTGAGTGAGGTTTGTGCTGTGGTTAGCTCATCAGTTTCCTTAGGGAGTCACAGTCTGTATTTATAAAAAAGTGCAAAAATTATGTTTGCAGCATAGTAAAAAACCTCTACATTTATAATCACCACACTAAAACTGATCATAGATGAGGTTGTGCATGTTCCATTTTCATGAGCCTAATGCTTTTTAGTCACAATAATATCAAAACAATCAGAAATTGTTTAAATGATACAACTGTTTTGTAATAATTGATTCAGGGTACCAGTGTACACTTAGAACTCAGTCTAAGCACTGTTAGGGTCACATTTCCAATCACATTGTGTTTGTTTAATCAAATGTTTTTCTTTTTCTGGTCAGATTATCAAAACAGGACAGCACACTGATAATGTTTGTCCAGGAAGGCAGAGTGTCTGATTTTGTTTTGTAAATGGGCGACTGCTGTCTCCTCAGGGGCTGGCACTGATGCTAATGTGTGGGTCATCATTTTTGGAGAAAATGGAGACTCAGGAACTCTGGCTCTGAAAGAAAGCAGCAAGCCCAACAAGTTTGAACGCAAACAGTTGGACACATTTCGCTTCTTGGATATCCTCAGCCTGGGAGAGCTCTCCAAAGTACGAGTCTGGCATGACAACACAGGTCAGCAACTCAGATGAACAGTCACTGTGGGCTAATGAAATCTGGACTTTGTAACTGCCAGTTTGAAGATGAAAACACTTTGGTTACATTTCTAAACTTAGGTTGCAATCACAAAACATAAGGTAAATGTGGCACCCATTCCATTAGGTGTCTGAGGCCCAACTTGTCTTGATTTTGACAAAACATGGACAGTTGAAGGTTTAATAGAACAGCATTTTTACTTACTGTCATTTCCTGATCCCGTTACACCCAGGTATTGCTCCAGGATGGCATTTGGAGTACATTGATGTGAAGGATGAGATGATGGACAAAATGTTTCGTTTTCCCTGTGACCGCTGGCTTGCCAAAAGTGATGATGATGGGCAGATAATGAGAGATCTGGCCTGTGCTAACAACGACTATGTTGACCTCAATGAGAAGACCAGTAAGGCCAACACATACATACATCTTAAAGCTGTAATCATTTCAGTCCTGCTTGATTTGGTGACACTTGTGGTTACTGTGCTAACAGCAACTGTAGCTTATTACTACAGGTCCCATAATTCTGGAGGCAGCAAGCACTCATCGAGCAGCTACATTGTCAGACATATAACAAGAGCAACTGGTTTACCTGTTTACAGCGCAGCCAAAAAAACTTGCAATGTTTTCCCATCATGCATTTATCAACTCTGATTTCATGTTGCACAGGGTGTGACATCCTCATTCCCAGAAATATTTAAAAATGATCCACTTAAGAAAAAGCCATAAATATATAACTGAACAAAATGATGCTGGATTTCATCCTGTAATGTTTCCTGCATGGGAAACAGTAGAGTCCACTGCTAACAATAAAAACTACTATGTAAATAGGTCATTGGTGCATCAAAATATATTTAAAGGCTATTATAGGAAAATGCAGAACATAATAGTAGCAAAAACTGGGTTTTTCATGAAAATTATAAGGATTGTAACTTTAAAGAGCACTCATTTAATGAAAGTTTTTGTGCTTAAAGCATGTTTATGTATGCTGTGTATTCTGTGTGTTGCCATTTCTGTTTGAGGACAACTGAGACAATTTACTGTTACTGTGTCCATATTTTCTCTATTAAAGAATATGAAATTTGTATCACAACTGGAGACACGGCTGAAGCTGAAACCAAAGAAAATGCTTGGATCATACTTGAGGGGAAGAAGGGCCGATCAAAAGAATTTGTAATGGAGAACTCCTCAAAGAAGAGGAGGTTCCTGCGGTAGGTATTTGCTGCAAGATTAATTCAGTGAGCCACAACTTGTCTGCATAAATACGCTCAAGGAAATGTGGTTTCTCCCCCTCTAATTCTTGCTTTACATTTATTATAATATACCAGCACTGATGCACTATGATGACATTACAGTATCCTGTTGGAAATTCTTTCTGACACAGAACAAAATGGCGGTGATATGAATTTATGTATGTGTGCCAGTTTAAGAGAATAGCTACTCATTCTAACATGCTTATGTTCTTATTAGGGGAAATGTTGACAGGTTTGAGTTTTCATCCAAGAACCTGGGCGATATCGCTGGTATTTGCCTGGGCCACACACCTAAAGATGGAAAGAAAGTAAAGGGGGAGGTTTACTGGCTTGTGGAAGACGTTGTCATTACTGAAAGGGAACTGGGAAACAAGTAAGACAGTGGCTACTACTCAGTGACTAACTGTCAAATTGTTTGTTTTTACCACATTCATAGCATTTTTTTTATATTGTTCTTTCTCTGTTTCCTCCAGGTACATCTTCACTTGTAATGCCCTCATCCCTCTCTCTCCAAAGAGGGATGACTTTTTGACCTTTGAGTGCACAAAGACCATCGAGAGCTTTGCCAGTAAAGCTCGAAGCCTGGTGCCCATCAAGTACGAGATCATTGTCGTCACAGGTGATGAGAAGGGAGCAGGTACCGATGCCAATGTTTTCATTGTTATCTATGGCTCCAGTGGAGATTCAGGCCGTCGGAAGCTGCGGCAGAAGTTTCGCAACCTATTTGAACGTGGGCAGACTGACCGTTTCCTGCTGGAAATGCTGGACATGGGAGAACTGCAGAAGGTTCTGGTGGAGCATGACAACTCTGGTATTAACCCCAGCTGGCTGCTGGATCGTGTAGAAGTAACCAACACAGCCAGTGGTGTCACCACCATTTTCCTCTGTCGAAAGTGGCTGGACATCAAGAAGGCTGACAGACAGATTGCCAGGGCCCTCTACCCAAAATACTAAGGAAGGTATTATTTCTAAAAACCTCCATAGCAGAGAGATATCACAGTAATGACCAAAGTGATTCTGCTTCAAAAGGTTTTGTATCTCAGGAACTGAGACAGATTTTTCCATTCATAGTTTTTTAAGATGAAGTTATAATTAGATAGTTCATACTACCTGGGAATAGCACCTGCAGTGAATTACTCTGACAGCAGCTATATTCTTTGGTCAGGAAACCGTAAGTGCCATCCTTTTTAATTCTCATATGTCATGGATGGTTTGCTTAGTAGCTTTGTTATAATGGAGGTTTTTATAAAAGATTAAACTCATTTGTAATACTCAGTTTCCATCCTGTTTGACTCACTGATGGTTCCAGAAACTATATTACAGTAACTATTTTATTTTATCTATGTGAAAGAGGTCACTCATGTTGATGAGCTCATTGGTTCTGTCGTTCCTTTGAGCTCTACAGAACTTGTGAGTGTCTGTCAGCTCATCGTTTTGGTTTAAGAGCCTGCAACTTTATAGTTCTGGTTCAGTCTCACTGCTGTTATCAATCCGTGTCCAATCACACAGACAGTTGCTGCCAGTGTAATAGTTGTGATAAACCCACTGTACACTGCCAGTTCTTTAGAATGTGATAATTCTGTGTGGGTTACTATGAGCTGAGATTCCAAATATTCTAGAGGTATATGAATTTTAGATAAATGTATAAAAATGAATGCACAAAGCAGAAGACCAAGCACTCATCCATTTTGAGCAGTTTATTACAAAAAGAGCACATACAAAAGGATAATATACAAGCCATGAAATAAAATTAAAATTAAAAAAACAAAACAAAACAGTTTGGGTTTAGCAATGCAACTTTTGAAATCATTATCATCATTATTAGTAGCAATAATAAATAAAGTACAAAATTCCACCAAATGTGAATCTAAAATTTACCCATAATGTGCTCACTCATTTCTTCATCAACACACTCATCACCATTAATGCGCTATTGCTTTAATATTAATGATTAATAGTTCTATTTTCAGATAAAATATCCTATACTGAAAAACATTGCGCAGTCACAGCTAAACAGCAGATTTTCATACGAGGATGTCGGCAGCCCTTTCACTGGCACTTTTTGGGATTTTCTCTTCAGTTTTGTTTTTCAGATTCAAGCAGCAACAAAATTAATATTTGTTTTCTGTTATATTCTTTGTATATATTTTCACCATATACTATGAAACCACTGACACCATTGAAACCTGAGAAAACATGCATTTTTAGAAAAGGTTGTGCTTTAAAATCCTTGCTTTCCTTTTAGACTGAGAGGAAGCAGGATGGATTCTGAGAGGAGAGATGGACGGTAAAATATAGAAATGAAGAGAATAGGAGATACAAGATAAACAAAATACAGAGATGAACTGAAGAAGGATTCTTGTAAAGCCTATAGTGAAACATGCCTATTTATAATCTGAACTATTTACACAGTATGTTCAGTATTACAAACCGACAACTCTTTTGGTCAGTCTGACTTGAATTTTTAAGGAAAATGGCTTTTGTAGACACCTGTCAAATGTTATTTCAGCTCTTGCATGACCCATTCTAATTAATTATGCAACCAATAAGGCATGGTGGTTTCATGGATTGACTGTTACATATGAATGGGTTCAGTAATATGGAAATGTCTTGTGACACATAAAGTGAGGCACTTGTTATGTTTAAGTCTACAAACTATTCTGGAAAAAGAACTGAAGAGAAACACCAGACAAATGAAACTTAAAGACAGATACAAAGAGTAAAGTGATGCTGCACAGATGATTAGCATTAAGACCCACAGTGCATTATGAGAAGAGCATAAAAACGAAAGCCAGTGTTCTTAGTGATAAAAGTAAATTATCTAAAGTACCTTTTGCCAGTGAGAGGGTTCCCATATTTCACCTAGTGAGTGCAAAACAAAATAAGAAAAAACACAAACTAAAACCAATTCACTTCATTGCAGTTGCCCACTACATAACAGCATGGGGGATCCAAGAAATTGCATTGAATGGAATGTAACCAAGATCCACAGCACCACATGAGAGAGAGAGAGACATACACGAGAAGAAGAGAGATGGAAAGCGGGCTCAGTAGCTCAGCCTTAGACAGTAAACATCGCACAGCCAGCCTGTGGAGATCAAACAGCAGGGCTTTTTTTTTTCTTTAACTTTAGTGTTTTAAAAAGTACAACTGCATGCAAAGCATTCCCACTGAAAACAATGCAAAAATGAGGTAATAGTTTTTTCATAGCATTTTTGTGTTATTTCTAAATAAATAAATTATGATTCAGTCCCCCCTGCCCCCCCCCCCAAAAAAACTATAGAAAATTAAATAGATACCCACAATATCTACAGTTAGTAATAAATTATGATTGTTAAATACTTAAGGCATCTCAACTGACAACACCCTGTGTAAACTATGAAAACTTCATCACGGATGACTCCACTACAGGAGGAGGCAGTGTCAACACTGGCAGTGCACAAGACAGGGAGATGTAGGCCTTGTTAAATGATCCTAGGCCCACAAGGCTCAAAGGATCTCTGGACCAAGTCTTATCCTTTACTGTCGCAGTGCATAGGACAGCGAGGGTCCTGTGGAACTGAGATGACAAGCTGACACAAAGGGTAAAAAAAAAAAAGAACTGAAAACTGGTGAGACCAAGACTTGTTTTAGCAGCCTGAATGTTTTCCTGCTGTCGTGTCGCCTCATGTCTGTGCACTGTGAGAGGGAGGCTGCCTCCGTCGGGCCATGTTCTACATGTTCTAGCAATACAGCATAGCAACCAGCATAGCAACCACAAGGGGAGGTCTGTCACACAAATACACAAGATCAATACGAAAGCTCCTCTCTCTGCTGAAACACTGCATGAATCTAAACCTAATTATAAACCGATGCAAATTCAATACCGAGGGAAAAACCTTTGCTGCTATAACTATTGTCACATGTGCTTGTTCTTTAGGCAATAAGGTAAAAGAGGATCCCATCATTTCCACCGAAGGGGCAAGGAGAACACACGCTACGAGTTAGGGGAACAGCCACTCATTTTCTTCTTGTTTGTTAGTGTAGAGAAGATAGTCACAGCTCAGATTAACTAAGTCATGCACAGCCATCTCTGTACCTTTTTAAACTGAAGTAACACTACCAAAGCTAACAGCTCAAGTCGACGATGAAACATGCATTTTTAGCACACACTGTTCTGCCACTGGCCGTGCACCAGCTGAAGATGCAGGTACAAGGGCAGCTAAATCTTCCTCCCACCTTGCTTTGCAGTGCGTGATACTGCAGTTTTCTTTTTTAAATCCCTTTTTGGCTTGGTATTATACAAGCACTCCAGTGGCCATGCTGTTAATCTCTAGTGAGTCTAGGTGTTGCTTCAGACCCTTGAAATACACACATTTGCACTTTTAAATGTCACACACACTTGTTAGACACATTCTTTAAGTCACACTCACCAGGGCAGAGCACACACACACACACGTGAACCTGCACTACAGGTTCGAGCTACACCATGACAAAATGCATTTTGGTAAAACACTTTCTACCTATTTTAAACTTTTAAACACACAACAACTTGATCACTGAGCTTGGTTTTCACGGCGGTAAAGGAGGCCTACTGACATGACACCAATCCAAGGTAAAAATACAGCTGTATTGCAAAAATGTAAAAGCTGCATGATAGAATTAAAACACTCAGCTAGCTGGCACTTGCCCCCAAGAAGGCGACAGTGCACCAGATACAGTATCACTTGATGGTTACTGCTACTCTACTATGACCACAAATGACCTTTCGGTAAACATCAGAGCATTTAGTTTCTGTTAAGCTTTCTTGTGTAGCAGAATATTCATTTTGACTGACGTGTTTGAAAAGAGAGAAATATATATGTATATATATTTTTATATATATATATAGAAATAGAGAGAGAAAATAGAGAGGAAGTATCCAGCTCAGTGTGGGTTATGTGTTTTCCACTCTCAGGACGTTAAGTCATGGCTTTAAGGACATGCTACACAGCCCAGGGCTACCTACAGTATAACACCACAACAGCAACAACACCCCACTTATGACCAGCAAGCTACAAGTAAACCCTGTGTACATGAGTATGTGTGTGTTTGTGTGTCTTTTGCTTCCAAAGGGATGTGCTTCTATATAAAGAGAGTTCTTTGTGGCCTCTTGTGCAGTTAGTTATCCTGGCTTGGCTCAGTAACGCGTGAGTCAGAAGAGTGGTGATGTCACATGAAGTCTGGAGACATTTGGCAAAGCACCCAACGGGGGAGGGGGAGGTCCGGCAAGCCGGGGTGGAAGAAAGCAGGATCCAAATGAAGGTGATTGACAGAAGGGGGCCTGGGGGGTTTAATCTCATCAGCTGTCAGGATTCAGCTGTGTTTCGATGTCAACTCGACATATTGGACACTTCCTGCTGGTGGCCAGCCACTGGTCCACACAGCCCTGGTGGAAGAGGTGCATGCAGGGCAATCTCCTGGAGGACAGAGAGACACAAGGTCAATGCTGATTCACATTGGCAAATATGGCTCTCCCAGTGCACACCGTTATGTGCTTGCAACGTACTTCTGAAACCTACCGGGAGTTCATTTAGTTCATGCAGACATGTAGAGACATTTTCTGTGGAGTCATCAATCCCACATGCCTCCCAGACAGCTGAGACTCCACATGCTGTAAACTGACTCTCTCTCCTCACCCCCTGAGATTTACTCCCCAACTTTGGTTTGAATTTAAGTGTAAGTGCATGTGCCTCTATCAGTGCTTAAAGTATTTTACATTTTGGGAAATGTGGAAAGTTAGATGAGAAGATTGATCATGCTTTCATTTCTGTGCAATAAATAGCTGAAGCTAGCAGCTGGCTAGCTTAGCACAAAGGCTGGAAACAGCTAGTCTGGCTCTGTCAAATGCCTGTCAGCACCTCTAGAGCTCACTAGTTAACATGATACATCTCCCAAACTGCTGTAGTGAAAAAAAGCTAGCTGGGTGCTGGATGCATCTTTATATTTACTGTACAAAGACAGGAGTGGTATCGGTCTCCTCATCTAACTCTTCACCAGCAAGTTAACGTGCTTTCACAAACTGTCAAAGTCTTGCTTTAAGTTAAATGTTGTAGTGACAAGTATTATGGGACTATGAAGCATTTCTCACCTGACGTCCTCTCCGTCCTCCAACATGGACAAACAGATGGTACATTTTTCATCCACATCTGTTTCCTCCTCCTCACCAATCTTCAGCTGCAGGGGCTTTCTCTGTTAGCAGGTTAAATTACACAAAGACAAATGGTGGGGTCCAGAAAAGCCCAATGTGAATATATTTTATGTCTCTGTATGTTAACTGTTATTTGTTATACCTTCTTGTATTTATGTGGAAAGGTAAATCTCTCTATGGTTGTCTGAACAGCTCCTCTGTTGACACTCCCCAGCCGGTCCTCCAGCTGCAATAGCTCCTGAAGGAACAGTGGAAAGCCAGTGGAGCACAGTAAATATATATAATAAATATAAGCTACTAAATGGACATTTAGGTGAGATTGTTTAGGTAAGACTATATGAAACGTATTTGGAGGCATATTTACCTCGTAACTTTCTCGAACAGCTGTGGCATGCCTTGAAGGATTCAAACTCTGCAGTGCCAACAGGTGCAACTGGGGGTATGGGTAGTTTCTGATTTCATGCACAACCTACCAAAACAAAATTCTTCATCATATTACAGCAATGTTAATCCTCTAGCTGAATATAGTTTTTCTCCAACTGTAAGGGAAATATAAATCTTAACAGTAGAACAGTCTGTGTTGACCATACCACTTGTGTAGAGGATGTGTTCCTGGGGAAGTGGTGCATTCGAGGAGAGGCCAGGTAATGCTGATAGTGCTGTGGAAGCTGCTGGAGCTGGTACTGGTGGTGCGGGAGTCCGGCATCTACACTGAGATCCCTGCAGGAAGACAGACAGGCAAATAAATGTCACCCATCATGCTAAGCAATGTGACAAATAGACAGATGGGCACATGGATAAAAAGACAGGATAATTTGTCAACTCTGCAGGACTCTTGTCAATCTCTGGCAGTGACTCACCAGTCTGTGCCTTCAGCCAGGTACCGCGGCTGCTGTGTCACTGGCTGGGGAACATGGAGGCCAGGCGGGTACTCATATCCTGAACGCAGCCGGTGAGGGTTTAGGGGAATACGCTCCTGGGTTCTTCTGCGACAGGATAAAGATAAACTATGTTTTACTTGTTTGTTTTTATGCATATGTGTCTATATTTGTGTGGTGCTGCAGTTTTACCTGGAGTGTGGGAGGATCCTGCGGTGCTGCGCTTCAAGAAGCTGCTGCTGGATGAGGTATTGCTGGTGTAAGGCCTGAGGTAGGAACGGAGGCCCTGGCACATCCTGGAACTGGGGGGGTGCAGGCAGGGTAGTGAGGGGTGGGTGGTGTGCTGGAGGCAGGGGGGGAGCCAGGCCTGTTTGTGGGGGCTGGCTGGCGTGTCCTAGAGGGAATTCGGCTGAGATGGGCACCTGGGGAGTGCCCAGGTGAAAGTGTCGGCAGGAGGTAGCATGGCTGTTGTGATGCCTGGTGAAGTGTGCTCCTATTGGAAATAAATACAAGCTCTCAGAAATAGAACCAGATAAAAATGTGATTACTTTCAGTTAGACGCCACAAAGAGGCCCTGTCAAACCAATTAACTGCACATTAACACATATAACTGCCAAACACAAGCAATTAAAAAGACAAATTTGTCATTTCTGGAGTTCTCTCTCACTCACACACACAAACACGTACAAAACAATTAGCAACCAAACACAAAGAGAACATAAAAACAGGAGATAACGGACACAGGAAGACACAAGGCATGACAGACAAAACAGCAGATGGATCACACAGACACTGAGACCCCTGTGGAGCACCATCTAAACCCACAGACAGATTGCAATCAGTGTCCTGCCTATCCTCTATAGTACAGCCAGCAGGATGGATGGATCTTCATTAACAGCCTGGGGTGTTTCCAAGAGGATCCATAGCACCAAGGGTTATCTGTGGTTCATCTCCACTCAATATAATAGATTTAGGTCATATATCATATCCCATATGTCATATCCTTGCTGTTTAAAGGAGCACAGATTTCTCATTAAAACCCTCCTCCACAAGTCTGGCAATAGTCAGAAACCATGGCAGCTAAGGTTTTTTTCAAAATATTATAATTTCTAACATTTCTAACCCTTACTATCAAAGGTGGCAGCAACCTGAGATTGTGTGGTAGTCCCACTGGATCACTTCTGTACTGGCTTGCACTAAACAATCAATACAAATTACTCTGAGCTCAGAGAAAGCAGGGTGAGGTGGAGACAGTTACTACTTCAATTTTCAGTTACTGCTTTCTAGCTTTGTGGACCAGGAGGCCAACAGCAGGGTGTGGAAGGTATTGTGCATGGTCCATATTGAATAGCTGAGTGTTGTGATAATTTATTGTATACAGCTCATTCAAGTGATGTATAATGGAAGAAATAATTGCCTCATCCACTGTTGTGTCAGCTGTTTCAAGCTGAATGAGGGAGACTAAAGTTGGAGGTGTTAAATTGTTTATATTAGCAAGTGCGTGGACTATTGATGGTTTGCTATATGTTTAGTATTTGCTCACAAATTGAATTAACAGAAGATGGATAACCTACAAATGATCTAACATTTTCTTCATTCATTTACTTTTTCATGTAAACATCCCTTAAATATGTGTGAATTATATGGTGGATTTTAATTGGATAGACACTGCCCATTTAATGCCAGGGCTTTCCTGGGCTAAAGCCCAGGGACCTACTGAGTGAGAGGGGTGCTCATAAGGGCTCAAAAATAAAAAGAGAAGCGAGACAACGAGTAACTTTAAAATTTAACTGAATCTTTCAAAAAGGCTCAAAACATCAACTAGCTGTGAAGAAGGCCACTAGAAGAGCTGGACACCGACTCGGAAACATCTGAAATAAGCACAGGGTCACAGTTCTAGCAAACTGGAGAAACTGCTGAAGACGACAATGAAGGTACCTCAGCGGCTCTAAGCACAAGACCACATCCAGACAGCACTGACCCAGGTAAATGGAATTGAGGGCACTGTTTGTACCTATTGGGCCAAATTGTATCTGGAGGCTTGATGAAACAGAGACGCTGACCTGCCCCCTGTACTTGATGTACAGTATGTTTGTTGTGTAAGGCTTGAATCACAGGTGGTGTAGTGATGATTGAAAAGGGCCAACAGACAGACCGAGCCCAGGAGCCTGTGACCATTAACTGGTGGTTGCCATATACAGTGTGTAGCTAATGGACAGGTAAAAGAGTGGTATGAATATTCTCATCTAACGTTCAACCAGAAAGTAAATAAGCATCAAACAATTCCTTAAATCACCGCTAAACACATTTCCTTGGTTATTGTTTTACCTCGCTGAATATAGCCTCGGGACACAGGAAGCCAGTGAACCTTGAGACCCATGAGCAAACTGAAAACATTTATGTGAGGAAGTAGAACAGAAATGGCAGACGAGTGGTCTGGGTTGGTAAAAGACTACACATTACTTTTGTATACAGCCTGTGACCCAGTAAGACTGGCCTCAGTGCAAAGCTTAGCCTGGGCTCTTCTACAGGATGAACTGCTGCCATTTATGTTGAACACGCTGCCAGCAGTCCTGATGTTACTGTTGCGTCTCTGCTTCCAGTTTGACTTACAGATATAAAATGCCTGACTGGTGCAGAACAGACGCCCACCTATTTACTCATGCAGTGCACACACTCCTTCATATGCACCTATCCTCACCCTTGAGTTGCTGCACAGTCAGCCCCTCCCCCACAATGTGACTGCAGCATGTTGTCCCTGTGTGAGTGACAGCTCATAAGTCCTGCCCACCTGCGACTGCAGCAGTCTGACATTGAACCTGCCTCTCGCTCCCTCACCCCCTCCTGCTATTATCACTGCAGCTTTACTATCACACCTCCTCTCTACACACGATCCTGTGCTCTGCCTAGTTCGGTGGTCTTCCATCATGTGGCATTCAGAGACGTGTGCATGCAGTTTTTCATTGAAACCCATCACCGCACCAGCTGATATCACTGATAAGCACATTCACAATCAAGAGTGAGGCGACTAATGAGTGAAACCAGCCTCTCTGTTGTAGAGCTGGACTAAAAACCTGCATACAAATGGCTCTACATGGCACATGCTAGCACACTGTGCACTGACCTTGATTCTGTACATCGGTCAAATAAGGAGAGAGTTAGTGCTGGGTGGAAGACAAATATGTGATAATGACTTGATCTGTACCAGTGCAGTTGTTGTGGAAGAACATATGCATTAGCTGTTGAGTTATTTAAAGGTCTGTTGCTCTAGGTGGCGAAGAGAGTTACAGAGCACACACGGCTATTCCACAGCCACACCTTGTGTATGCAGATGTATGGCTCAAGTGGCTGAAATGGGACAGCAGAAGGTCCCAGGCTAGAAAACCCTTTAAACTGCTAACTTTATGTTTAAAATGTGTGGCTAAATACATATGCCTGTGCTGCATGTTATGACCCTTTGCTTTTCACAAAATGCTTAAAGTGAAAGCAACCTTAAACCATGATGCACATTAAATTTACAGGAAAAATGAGAACTTATAAACCAAATTATTTTATAGGCCTCATATTTGAAATGTATATTAGTTTATATAATTAGATGGGTGATATATTAAAAGGAAAAACTAGGGTAACATAATGTGAACAGCAAACTTGTTAGTAAAGTGTCTACAGACCAGCTCTTTTGGAAGGAGGAAACACCGTTCTTCCAAAACATATTCCAACATAATGTCTCCAACTCACTTGTTTATACTCATTTAAGTTATTCAATAACTGAAAACTTCAACCATTAAGTCAATTCATTGATAGAAAGTGAATTGACCACTAGTCTGAAGCAAAAAAATCACCGTTTTCTGGTTCCACCTTCTTTAATGTGAGGAACTGCTGCTTTTCTTTATCAGATATGATTATAAAATGAATGCTTTTTGATTTGTTTGTTGAACAAAACATTTGAAGACACCACCTTAGACTCTGGAAAGTCAAAATGGGCATTTTTCAGACTCCTTGACATTTTGTGATTAAAACCATCAATCGTCTGTTTAGTCATTTAGTCAGAACTTCCTGGAATTTGTCACCCAAATATAAACACATGGCACTTCTGTAGACAACCTACAGTACAACATTATTACAAAAAAAACCAAAGTGTTAATTAAAAAAAAGCTTTATCTGGACTTATAATGTGTACCTAAGTGGGTTCAGTTTTGCTGTTGTCTCAATCTACAAACACACAGGAGTTTATTCTCCACAAAAAAAACAAACAACAAAAAAAAAAAACGCTGCTTTCTGTGATTTAAGTTTATAGGGGCTAATAGGTGGACTATGTTATCACTGGACTGAGCCACTCAGATTCCAGGCTAGCCAGCTTCATATTTATGGTACAAACATGGGTGGTGTCAATCTTTTCATCTAATGCTCTGTTGGAAAGTGAATAAGCAGATGCCCCAAAATATGATGAAATATATATATATATGTATACACAGACACACCAAGAGATATTAATCTGGTATATTATTTATACTGTACCATAGCTTTAATATCTTTGGGCCATGTAAGGCAAATGTGTCAGCATAAAATTAGATTTCATATAATGTTTGCATCACTGTGTAAAAAAACCTTGAAATGTTGGGTATTTAATTTGAGGGATGCACTTTAAAGATATACTTATTTATATTTATTTATGGCTGTTGTACCCATTAACATTTTATGGAAATCACAAAATGAAAAATTACTTCTACCTTGATAAAGGATTTTAGTCATGTTGCCCAAAGTGGTTTCAATGTTAACACCAATGAACACCAATGAGTGGATGTGAGGGAAGGCTGCCTTGTTTCATAAACAGCAGTGTATGGATTAGAAGGGGATGACAGCGTGTGACATGTAATATCAATGCCATGTGTTTCACTATAAACATGCTTTTTTTGGGATGGATAGAAAATTTGGTTGCCCCTACTCCAAAGTTAAGCAGAGCAGCAACTTGAAGAAACTCTGTCAAAGACAGCGGATAAATGAGAGCACATACAGAGTGAGGGGACCATCTCAGTGACAGCACAGTGTGAAGTGAGGAGGGGAGGAACACATGGAAATCAGCAAAAAGCACACTGAAGGTTAGGAAGAAAACTACAGTCTTTATTGGAAAATATTAGTATGTGTGGCACTGTGTGATAATAGTAATAATAAAAGTAATATATCCTATATAATCATAATAATACCATGCAAATAAAGACCAAAGGCAAGGCCCGACCATGCTCTCTGTAGGGTTAACAGAACAGAAGCAGCATCCAATGAGTAGATGTGTATGCTTTCAGCACATTTCAGTACAGCAGGGACATCTCTACACAAAAATTACATTGGAATCTGCTTTCAATGTGGAAAAACAAAAGTGTAAAATGATCATGCATTAGGATCTAATACAAAAACATAAGGTAGAAAAACCACAACCAAAGAATAAAAGACATTTTGATTCTAAAAGGAGTTCTACAGCAGTGCAGGATATTCACATCCCTGTAAAATGGATAGCATTCTGGAGGTGTCTGAGGAAAGGCCTGAGAGGGGGCGGCGCATCATGATTGTGGTTCCAAAAAGGGGGATTTTTAAATAGCAAGATGAATTGGACCTGAGCCTTGCCAATTTATTATGATTAACTGTATCAATTCAGCTAGCAAGAACAAAGGATTTCACACATAGCCAGGATTATGACCAGTGGTTTGAACGCGGCTGTAACAGGTGCAGGGGACCGTCAAAGGTGAAAATAACATCGCACAGATTACTGTGATTTGAGTATGGCAGGGATTGGCCAATTGGTGAATGTTAGGATAACAGGACCGGCCTAAACGATACAGAGAAGGTGATCATACAAGCGCTTTATTGATGAGAAGCTGGTACAATGCACCTTTGCAAATAGGGGATGGAGACGATATTCAGAGTTCGATCAAGCTTGGCTGTAATCGAAACGGGGAGGATCAAAATGTATCCACTTTACAGAAATTTACAGCAGAATGTAGCCTATCCACACTGAATGGGAGAATCACAATGACAGTCTGTAGTAAAGTCTAATGCTACAATGGGTTATTCACTAAAGAGCAACAAGACAGTTTAAATTAAGACACTGTTATCTATAGAAAGTGTTATTCTTTAGTCTGTTACACAGAAGGATACGGTATGAGTGGGAACTCGGTTTTAATGCCAATGTCGTCTTCAGATGGAAAGAGGAAATGAGGAAGAAGGGGTTCACAATACAGCTAGATGCAGAGAACAGGCAGAGGCTACGGCAGACAGCAGCAGATGATCGTTAGCTACACAATGGAGGGGGACAAAGGTCTGAGAAATGCGGAATGTAGAGCCAGCCTCGATACTATGGAACAGGAAAAAAAGAACACAAATAAAAGCACAATGAAATCATTGGTGCTACTGCATGTAGTTGTAACAGTGCACGTTAAATTATTAATACTATTATTATTACATAATCAACACAGATAGCCTGCTGCAATGGAGGATGATGTTACTGTGCCCAATTGGACAAGTGTGATTTTCACTGCTGGAGCAAGCGCAATTTGCAGGATTCATCTGAAGGGTCGGGGGCAAAATAACACAATTTTAAAGCCTATTTACAGTCGCCAGCCATAGTCACTACTCTGAGGTACCGCCATTACAATACCTGGATTTAACAGACGAAATGTTTGATATAATTCATGAAAATCGAGGTAAAACTAGCGCGAGGAATCAGCAGACTCGATGCCAGCTGCACACAAAGGGGCAAACGATCATTGTCATGTTGTCAGATTCAGATACAGCTACTTGCTTGGCCACATTAAAGCCACATCCAGACAGAGCTGTGGATATTATTAGCTAAAGCTGAGCTACTGAACGTAGCTGTTATCAGGCTATTGGTACTGCCCAGCAGTAGCTAGCGGTAGCTGCTCAAAATAGCTGCGAACGCACGTAAACACTGCTCAGTGAAAGACAAACCAGACAGGACCGCGTTAGCCTCCGAGCACAGATGAGGATAACAGACAAGCGGGGCTGCCATTTGACAGCTGGTACCAGGCCCTGAAATACCCTAACATTAATATAGTCATGGCTTTTATAAGTCTTCACTCATTATAATCACATTTTATCTGGCTAAATGTACGTAGCATTACAGTTAGCAACTCAGCTAATGTTATCTACAGTAGACTGTCGCTGTTATGTTGGCTTGCGTTGTTTAAACTTTTTTTTTTTTGAGTAGCAGATGTCAGCTCGGTTTACATCAATGGAGGACATTTAAAAGAAGAAACGCCGAGAAATTTGTTAGGGTTATGATTTACAAAAATATTGGTAGTCATACCTCTATTTCTAACTGAGCCGAAGACGGGGAGAACCAGATATCCAACGTGCACTAACACCATCCTGGGTCCTTCTTTGTTGTGTGGGCAGCCAGCGAGACAGATGGTCCATGGAAATGAACCCCTTCGGTCTCCAGCACATTCAAACAGACAGGCTGCTCTGCCTGCGCACACAGCCGACCAACCAATCACTGGAGCCCATCGAGCAGGGCCCTGCGGCTTTGGCACCCAGCTCCACCAATGGGATCAGCGCAGGGGGCGGGGACGTCTGTCCTGGACAACCCGCCCCTCAAGGGCTGGATCCACCACCAAAAATTATATGAAATAGGAGTCGTAGACCTGGATCTAAATTTTCATAAATAGCATGAAGGTTTCACAAATCTGAAACTGTGTTTTAAAGACTCCTTTTACTGTCCTTGATAATCTAGTCCAGATTTGACTAGTACAGTAAAACGACAACATAGCCTGTTAATAGCAATCTGAGTTTTTAATAGACAAGAAAATACCTCAGATTAAATTAAATTATAGTAGAACCAACAAACACAACCAAAGTTAATTCACATTATAGTTGCTTTGAAGAAACAACTGCTTCCATTGCATGTGCTGCATTATTTTTCTGTGCAATATATTGTATGCTGAAATTGTCCTGAAAACCTCTCTGCCTTTAGCTTTAGGCCTGAAGAGAGTGGGAACAGATGGACATGGAGAGGCTGAGGGTGTCACAAAACTCTGAGTCCCATATGTCCTCATCTTCTAGTTCCCACCATCTAATGCTTTAGCCTGTGGTGCCACACAAAGGGCTTTTCACAAAGTTTTACTACCAGTGTAAGTCAGATGACTAAAATCAGTTCCCTTTACTCACAAACAATAGGCTTCTGATCTATCATGTTATACTATACAGAACATTTAGAATAGACAAAATGAGAACAGTGGCTACTGCAATATGGTTTTTCTATAAAAATCATTGCCTGTTATTTCAGTGCAACATATAAACAAATTCATATTTTAGGTCTGCTACTATAAGTTATTTATACTTTTTTCAATTATTCTTTTGTTCAGCTAACTAATTAACTGACGGCGGCAGATGTTTGCTAGAAAACAGCTCTTTAATTTGAATTAAGCAGAGCCGAGCAGTGAGTCGTCATTTTGATCAGACCTGCATGTAACAGCGCACTTGTACAACACTGAAGAGACGTGCAGGAGGAAGGAGCCGGTGCATTCACTGCTCTCTGAGGCCATCACTGCCCTGTAAAAATTAGCATACAGCTGAGGTTCTGCCCCGAGGGTGAAAAGAGCTGGTAAAGGGATTCTTTGGTTTTAGAAGGAGGGCCCCGCAGGCAGACTGCATTTCTCCACTCCCTCATTGTCCTCCCCATGTGAACTCCGTATGTCCCCCTAGTGGCAGGTGTTGCTGTGTGACCTCTGACCTGACATGCCCCTTTTGTGTGTGAGGCTGAAATTGTGTTGTTTACAGCGAGGCAGTTGTCTAGACTATTTGGCTACAGGTTAAAAAAGACAATGAGAAGTCTGATTTAGTATTGTTTGTATGATGGCAATAATTCTCTCTTGTACGGACAATAAAATACAAAACACTTCATGATTAGCTTTGGACCTCAGATGCATTTATCAGTGCACTGTCATTGTCATAATATTTACATTTGAGGGAGAACTTTTTGAAGAAATCATTTAAAGCATGAAAAATGTCACTGTCTTCAGCTGAAAGATGTCAGTGCCAATTACACTACTTCAGACAACCACAACTGGCAGCCCAATTTGCAAATAGACACTCATTCGGCTTTTTTTCTCTAAGTTTGAAGCTAGATATCTGACATCAGCAGTCACAGCAATGAGCAAAGATCACATAACCAGATTTTAAAATAAATCACAGATTTTTTTTCAAGGCATATAACAATAAATCTGTACAAAGGAGTCATTAAATAACGCTCTATTTATTTAGTTTTAAAATAGTTTCTTTTTGTTCTACAGACAATTTCATGGAAGTCAAGGACTTGCAGAAGCAACAAAATACCCTTTTTTTTGTTAATTTAAAATACTGACAGTAAAATAAAACAAGAAGAGCAAGCCTAAATTACTGGCAATGAGGATACTATCTGACTTGATGTTAAAACATGTGACCAAACATATTATATGCAACCACAGTCGAGCATCACCGCCCTAATTTTCTGCCAACCCACTAAGGATGTGGGCAATGTGTTACTAGTCTTTCATGGTAAGCCTAAGGAACAATAGCAAAATATAGTCATGGAATTTAAAAACGCACCACTAATACCAATATAGGTGGTGAAGAAGAGTAGATATTCTGTGCTCTGGTAAAAGAATTCATTACAGTGGTAGCTGCATATAGTGGAAAATCTTGCCAATGAAAAACAAACATTGCATTATAAAACTCAATCTTTCAGATAAGTGAATTCTGTATCTGAAACAGAATTCACATCACCTTATTTCACAACAAATGCACAAGTCGGGAAAGACAAACATTCCATTTAGACTTTGGTTTAGTTCCTTGTATTTTGGATTTTCCCTTTCTGTGACCAGCAGAAGTTAAAAGTATGACTATATAATTTTCAAGCATCACTTTAGGAAAGTATTCAATATGCAGTGAAACAAATCTAAAGTGTTAAAACAGCATGTGAATTTGGATTGTTGATAACAATGTACTAGTGTGGCTGCAGTACTGCATGGGCACAAAAAGAAGAATACGATTAAAGAGCGCAAGCAGGCCCTGAGGAGCAGGGGGAAAGCCGTTCATACGATAAATGTCTCTATAAACTCAACACCACTTTTACTTTTTTAATATGTGTGCTAAATTCACATCTATTATTAAAATATTTGTTTAGATAGCAAAATCCACTGCTTTGTAAGGTAAAAGAATAAGCTTTTTACCATCCTAAAAGAAAATAGTGCACATTTCAAGGCATTCAGGCCATCTTGCTTTGCAGTATTCAATGGAAGATACATTTCTTTAGTTGTTATAAAGGGGTCCCCAGAGGTTTAAAGGTGTTTGCATCCACTCAGGATAAGCATGCAAACAATAGGTGCACCCAGTTAGCACTGCAGGGTCATACATTCACTGATAACTGTGTCACCTGGGACACACAGATTCTGTATCAGAAACATGGCTTCCACCATAAAATAGCTCAAAACAAAAGATTTATAATTTCTATTACCAATAAACCAGCACCGCGGTGGTAGAAATGATCAAAATGTTTGTAGTGTATTATTCTTTTTTTGTACTTTGTTTGAATTAAATCAGTGGCTTTCTGTTTTCATGAAAAAGTAAAATGGATTTTTAATATTGTAACAGAAAAAAAAGAGTTCACGCTAGATGGGAAGAATGACACCACTGTCCATTAAGCATTAAGCAAAGGTCAGCAGTCAGTTAGCTTAGATAAAGACTGGAGGTGGGGAAAATGCCAACATGGCTCTGATCAACTACCAGGCAACCAGCACAGACTCTGGGAAGCAACTGTGGTAAGAAAAAACAGAATCACACATATAAACCAGTTGTCATTTTTACAGTAAGTTTTTCTAAGGACTAAATAAAGAAACTATAAGGTGAATTTGTTTACAGGTGCTGGTAGGTAGATTCTGTTGCCTTTGGATGAGGTCAGTCTCACTGTTGCTACCGGTTTCCAGTCTTTATTCTAAGCTAAGCTATCCAGCTGCTGGCAATAGATTTATATTTAACAAATAGATATTTATATTTAACAAATTTATATAAAGGTGCTCAATCATCTCTTTTATCTCTTGGCAAAAAAAAAAAAAAGCAAATAAGCCCTTTTCCCAAAATGTCCAACTGCTCCTTTAAGATAAACCAAAACCCAGCCAACCACATCAGAGCGCAGGCTGGACTTGTGTTGAGCACTGTACAGTAAAGGAAAGCTATCAATGCAAACTGAACTAAATGTAAAACCAGACCAGTGCTGAGACTTCTGAAAACAAAACTGACCCTAGACTGGTACAAAGCAATCTTTGCCATCTATCTATAGTCTACTGTACAACAGGAACTGTACCGTGAACATGGGCTGTCCAGGCTATCCATGTACAGTGCCATTTTGTCTTGATTGCAGGTTAAAAATGCTGAATCCAGTCTGAAAAGTTTCTGTTCAGAGTCTGTAGTGAAACAGATCAACAGCCATGTCTTAATAATGACCTGCTCTCAAGCAGCAACTTGAAGTTTTCACTATATACCTTGCAATCACACAACACAAAATGACTACCTATATGTGTTATCGAGGGGTAACTGAGGTATTAACTGAAGCCAGGATATTGCTATCATTAAACACATAAATCACTCTTACGTACATTTTCACCTGCACTTGAAGTGCTGTGCCATTTTATTACAATTAAATTCATAGCTGACAGACTGAGATCAGGGAATCACATCAGTAGAATGGCTTTGATAAACATGATTGTTCAACAGTAAGTTAAAAACAAACAGTACACTGGAGCAGGAAGAGTCCACAAGCAGTTACAGGCAAAGCTGCAACTTTAGGAAGGATTTCAGCCATAACATGTAGGCGAGGCAAGAAGGATGAGGCAGAGGAGGAGTGAGAGGAAGGAAAAAAAGGAGTCTTCAGTGTACAGGTTGTTTAAAGTAGGTATTTGTGTCTGGTGTCCTAGTCCAGAGTGAGGTCCACCACTTCAGGAGGGGACACCCAGTTGGGCTGAGGGGAAACAGTAGTCCAGAGCTGTGGCTGATTTGTGCTGTTTAACTGCTCCACAGAGTTCTCCTTCCAAGAGGACAAACTCTTTATCACACCTCCACATGGATGAGAACATCTGCATTCAGAAACAAAACAAAACAAAACAATGAATTCATTTGTAAAACTGGGAGTGGGGAATATTTGGTTAGTAAAATTAGCTGACGAAAGTTTCCTCTCTGAAAGTCTTTACCGTGCATTCTGTTGCACGCCAACTATTTCCACCTCACTGTCAGAAGAAGCGACGTTCATCTGGCTCTTGTGTTGAGAACTCTCCTTTTGCGACAGCTCTGGTTCCACGTGACCTGAAACAAAGAGGAACAGAGTGACTTACTGTGAGGAGGACCAAAGCAGTAAAGAGCTTCAGGCCTTACTGACACAAAGACTACAGCTGCTTTGACACAGACAAGAACAAACAATGATGAATCTGATGCTTGTGTTTGAAAAGCTAACTGATAGCATGGAGGGACACATTAGACACAACATAAACTGTGGACTTTATAACAGTGCCGGCTAGTCAGTCATGAAAAGTCAATTCTTTTATCTTGGAGCAAAGCAGCAAGACTTTTTATAGCACCAGTGGCGTGCAGGATCAAGAGTGGCACTTCAAAGGTGTCTTGCTGAGATTAATAGCACAGCTTCCCCCATTTATTGATGACACCTGTGCCTCTAAATGTCCTGTCTTCACTGAGAGGAGTGGAAAAATGATCTGTTTGGATATACCTGCTTTGTAACTGACCTGAAATAGAGCTCAGTGCTCTTTTACACCCAGAGTGAGCTGCCATATCCTGGCCTCTGTGTGTTTTTAGCTCATGCTTTATCACCGTGGTCCGGACTGTCTCCACACTCATACTCTCCTGGTTAGAATCAGTGTCTGAAATATCATAGTGACCCACTACTGGAGGCCCGTCTGCAGAAAACAAAGAAAACACTTCATTATTCAAATCATGCCTGGAAATAGTGGGACACTGTTTGGACCACAGACTTGACACTGCCTCTATAGTCTGGCTAGCTGCAGCATCTCCAGTTTCCACAAGAAAACACACTATTTTCCCAGGTGCAAAGCTTTAGACCAGAACAAAACATTTTGGCTTATCGATTTGGTAGTGTACGTTTTGCTGTAAAACAGGAACATCACTTTCTAACTAGTGAGGATTTAATACTATACAAGATGTCTGCAATTCATCAAACCTTTGGTAACATTTTTCTCTTTATTTATTGCTTTTAAAATAACAGCCACTCACATAAAAACTACACTAAAATACAGTCATTACAAAACACTTCAATAACCTTACTCAGTCAGCGAAATGTGGTGGGATAGTAAAAGCCAAACAACAGAAGACGAAATCTGTGAAAGAGCAAGAACATGTGTCTTTGTTCTACCCTGTAAAAGGAGTCCCTGCGAGAGACGCACGCGCTGCTCTCCAGACGCGTGTGTGGGTGTGTGAGAGGGTTTGTCTGGACAGCATGTACTATGAGAGAACACTGCCGATGAGCAGCTGATTGCTTTGAAATAGGCAGGTACCAGGGTCACCAGAGAAACCAAACACATGCCAATGTAAAGGCCATGTATACAAGATACAAAAAGGGCTAATATAAACCAGGAGAGTCTCTTCGGTAAACAATGGACTGTCCTTAGTGTCGTTTTAAATGCATGTAGTTTGAGCTTATATGCATGAGGCTTCCTTCATCATGTTGATCAACTGTAACTGATGCATGACAGCAGTTGTTGGATCCGTTTAAACCCAAAATGTCAAAATTATTATGCACTGAGAAACAAAAACCATATTCACAAAATTTCACAATTTCAAATAAAACCATTAGGCCAAGAAAACATAAGAAGGTAAAATGGTCCAGTCACCATTTATCAGCATAAGCAAAGCTATACTTCGCACACATGCTGCTGATGAAAATTAATTTGGCCTTGCACATTTTATATACAAATATAATTACATGCAAACAGGTGGGGAAACAATGCTTTCAGCTTGTAAAACTGACAGTCATAGGGCTACATGTGCACATACAGAAAATGTTACCACTAACATCATTAGGCCAAAGACTACTCCATCAATGTCTGCCATGGTTAGATGGTGTTAGCACTGTTAAGAACTTTGACACTACTGTCATCAGTATCAGTAAGAGTGTGCTAAGAGGGTTGAGGAGTGTTTCCACCTCAGACACCACAGGATTTGAACCACAGAAGGCCATATGATTACCCAGATCAGACTGCTGTAAGGAAATCAGTAACAGTGCCATGAACCATACTCCAGTTGTATTACTGCTGTGTTTGAACTTTGACGCCTGGGGTTTCAGTTTAAAGTCAGGCTGAGGAACACGCAGCGCCTTGGGGAGACAGACCAAACTGGCAGCCAAATGCAAATAAAAAATTAACTAGCTGAATATTGAATAAGTGAAGATTTGAGCCTCTTCATATTGTGGCTAATAACCACAACAAAGGAACACATGCCTCATCTGATGTTCATAATCTTTACATACTCTACTGAAATCAAGTTATTCCTCCTCCACTCGTTTCTTATTACTGCACAAAGACAGCAATAGCAGCAAACCAAATGGTAATTTTAAAATATGTAAACACACCTAAACTAAGTACATACTGTGATAAGATTTTTAAAAACAAGAAATTGTGTGGGTTAGTATACCGTTTATATTTGGATGCAAATCTATGTTTAAATGCAAGTAAAGCTATGCCACCAAAATACAGGATGTCACAAGTTTCTTTTGTCCTGAACCACTTACACGTAAAGTGCAAACATAGTTCGGGAGAAAGGGTTATGTACAGAGTTGAACCTGATTGCTAAATAAATATGACAGGCTAATTAGCATTTTCAGCACAAGTTCAAAATGACAAGGCACGTGCTCTTAAGCAGCAGCACCCCATCTACAGTAGCTCTATAATGCTGGCTGCCCTGGTGCTGTAATGCTCATTCTGTATGAATGACAATCAGTTCCTACGTGTGGTTTTGTGATTGTGTATGCATTGTGTAAGTTGGTAAACAAAAACAAACAAGCCATACAATAAGAGCCCTGACTCAACAGCCTACTGAGATGTGCCCTGCATCTGTGTCACAGATGCTCTAGAAATCAAACAGGTGAGCTGATTTGTTCTGAATGTCAACTCTCACAGTGATTCAGTGCCAGCAAATGCACCGGGCCTTAGGTCTGCACAGTCAAGAGCCAATGACCAGCTTAGGTTCGTGGTGAATCCATGTAGTGACTTTGCATCATTTATCTAATAATAACCATTGTCATGCTTTCTCTATCAACTAGTTCTGCACTTGGTAAGATCAAAGTATGAAACAGCGAGGAGTGAAGAAGTGAGTTCTAAGCATTCAAGAGACCAGGGTCTGGAACACCTATGTTTCCATTCTGAGTGACCACTTCAGGTAGGATGTTGTTGTTTATGGGGGTGAGACCGTTATTCTCTCGTGCCAACATGTAAGCAGCCATAGTCTCTGCAGACTCTGATGATGGTAGAAAGGAACTGGGAGGAGATGGGCGTGCCCCCTGGGAAGGATGTAGTGGCCCCTCTAGGGCATCACTTGAGCGTTTGGACGAATCGTTGTCTGAGTCGAGGTGTGCGAGCTTTTCCATCCAGATGCGGAAGCGCTCCTCAGTCTGGCGCTGCATCACAGCAAAGCGTGTCATGGCCTCCTCCAGAACGCTGCCGATGCCATTCCTGTCCCACGAACCGCTGTCCAGCAACCCATGAATCTGGGCACCCACTCTGGATCTCTCCGATGCACGTCTGAAGCCAGCTTTAAAGACATTGAGGCCAAGCCATAAGAAAACACAGTAGCACTTCATGTGTCGGAGGTGGACTTTTGTATTAAAGAGAAAATGACAGTTTGTTTTTGGTTATGTGCAGATCGACTCTTTCATGCTAATGGGCTACATCATGCATTTTTATCACTCAGATCTGTGTGCGGGATGTAAAGATGGTTGAAAATATTTTATGTACTATAGCTCCCTAAAGGAAGACAACTGGATGTCTCAGGCAACTTAATGACTTTAGTTTGGAAAATGTGTTAACTGGTGAGACTTTGAAGTAAACAGATTTAAGGCAAAATAATTACAAACCTACAATGCAAAGGCAACAGCATGTATACTAGTGCTCCTGAACAAACATCTAAAGACTAGATAAACTAATTCCACTGTGAGAAAACAAAACTAAGTGTCCTAAACAATAATTTATTAAGCAAAACCCTTGAAACACCACAAGCTACATACTGAATTCAGTGGAAAAGAAAAACTGTATGCCAGAACCAACTGAACAGTTTATATTGTAAGAAATGCAATCGCAGTGAAAAGATCAGCCTAAAGTAAACAAAGTGCTTCTCCTCCAACAGCAGCAGTAGGCAGCAGGCCTGTCGATACCCCCCCCCC